ATCAGTGCTTTTAAACTTCTTGCTCTTTGTTACTGGAAATACTTCGGGGATGTGTGAGGAAAAACGTTCCTTACGTGAATCGTATACTTGACAATGAAAAGGATATTTAGATGGTGTGTTGGAGACTGATTAAATCAGACCTCAATTTCAATATTCTGAGTTATTGGGTGGAACGTAAGACAGACTACTCTTAAAAAGTCTCTTAATTGTCAGTCTTCTGTAAAGAAGTCAGCATAAATCTACACATGATTCCTGAAGTGTCAGAATATCTCAACACAGTCTTGCAGACTCTGTAAAAATTATCCAGGCATTCAACAGTTTTCTGCTTTGCTACACTTACACCACCAAAGAAATGATGAAAACAATATAAATATCAGAAACCTCGTCTTAAAGGGTGATCCATCTACAGCCTTATGATTTTAGGTCCTGGTGTTAGCATCATTTGCTAGGCTATACATTCTGCAACAAACAAAATCACAAGGTCCTCCCCCTCAAACACTGGGTGGGAGGAGGGTCACTCAGTTCTCCTACACTGCACATTAATCCAGTATTGCAAAGTCCTCTGAAAATGTGGTCTTTTGCAGACACAGAATGCTAAATTAATGTCCCCAGCACCTCCCCAACTGTTGCAATTTGTACTGATCTTGCTCATCGTTCTCACTGGCAGTTGTGGCATTTTCATTTCACAGACTCCTGACTCAGGAAAATACTCTGAATAGCTTTGAATTATTGGGTGCAACGTAAGACAAACTAAACTCTTAAAAAGTCCCCTGCTTGTCAGTCTTATATAAAGAAGTCTATATAAATCTACAGGTGGACAGACCATTATCCTCCAAGACAATAAATCATGTTTTTTAAATTTAGAGTTTGGATACAGACTTCGAACAAATAATTATTGTTTCTCTGTACGTGTTCAGAAAATAGAGCACCCTCAGATAAAGGAACAATTTATTAGAAATCCTTGAAAATTATTCTGAAAAGTCAAAGATGAAACATTAGGTCATTTCCGAATGTGAGATAGGTTCTCTATTCTCAGAAAAGGAAATGTGGGCAAATTTTAATTATGACGCCTAAGACTGTCATTGCACCTCCAAGTGGGTGTTCTGCCAGGTGGAAACGGAAGCCACGATGGCAAGAACTGTCATACTTATGAGTGCACTAACGAAACGGGTCCTTCCCTGCTGGCCTCACTGAGGAATCTTAAACAACTCACTTCCACTTTTTTGTCTTTATTCATGTTCTCTCATGTTCTCAGCCATTCTTATCTATCCTCTCATGAAAACCACTATATCATCCCGAGAGGATGATCCTTGGGTGGGAGAAGTTGTAGTAATTCCTGCTGGCACTAAAGTGTGGTATTTAAGACTCTGGACCCTGGCAGTGAACCTTGGCTCTTGCACGAAGCAATTGTGAGACATTGGGTTAGTTCATTTCTCTGCATCTCAGATTTTCTCATCTGTGAACAATAGTATTTATATTTTTTGTGGTTTTGTGGGGATTAAATGAGTTAAGATATGTGTATAGCACTTAGAACAGCACTAAGTGCCTGTAACAGTAGGTGTCATGTAAGTGTTGGATTTTATAATTGGCCATTGATTCATGTCCGGCCATTTAAAAAATTAACTAGCTAAGTACTGAACATTAACTGCCCACTATTGAAACCAAAGCCAAGGACCCCAATGAAAAATTCTATTGGATTTCACCTATTCAAAAGAGGTAACAACGGAGACATCAGTCAGTTTCACAGGGGACTCTTTCTCTCCAAGCTACTAACTTATGACAGTCTTATCAATGGCCAGTTGAAATTGATCTAGTCTTAAGAAAATATGGTGCAATTTATTTTCAGACAGTAAAGCTCTAACAGCACATATTTAACAACATTTAGAGATTACTGAACAATAATAACTAACATTTTTGATTTAAAGTAGATTTTAAAATCGTGTCTTTTCCTCTTGAAATCTTGAAGAGTAATTACAATTTTCATCTCTTCCCCATATGTTTCTAAGTTAAAATGTCACACGGAAGTGGAGGCAAAAACACATTGCTATTCCTTTGGGGGAAGAAAACCAGCTCCATCTTTCAAAGTCAAAGCCTAAAATGTTAAAAAAAAAATAAATAAATAAAAATAAACCCAAGTCTACATGATACATGAGTATACTTTAAGCTCTCTATTGGGAATTGGATGAAATTCCTAATAAAGCTATGCTAACTAAAATAAGTTATTGACAAAATTAATCAATACTTTCTGGAATGTTATTATTATCAATTTCTTTTTTCTTTTTGGCAGCTGGCTGGGAAGGGGGTCTGAACTCTTGACCTTGGTGTTACAATACCGTGCTCTAACCAACTGAGCTAATCAGCGAGCCCCTTTTAGAAAATTATTATTTTTGTGTTTAAGGTTTTCCAAAGATCCCCAACTTGCTCTTCTGGCATCAAACATAATAAAATGGAGATATTACTTTGTTCAGGGCTAGGATCTCTCAAAAGTTCAGAGAAAGACACACTGGGAACAGAAGGGACTCACAATTAGGAAATGAAAGTAGCACTGGACACTAAAGTAATGACTTTGTAACACTATAATGGTTCGACTTAGATCTGAAAGATGAAGACAGGAGGGTTGGCAAGTGGGATGCGTCTCCTTGGTAATGTGAGAATGACTAGATTTTTAAAAGCTGGGACCTAACAATATTGAGTCTGAGATGGTAAAGTGACAATGAACAGAGATGATCAGAAGAGCAAGGACACTAAAACAGTCGCAGACAGAGAGACTTGAAGTTATTTTTCAACTCTTTCCTGATGGCTCCTTTCCAAGACCCAGGAAATTGATCTCAACTGGTGTGCCACCTCTGTCCCTCCCCCGAGGTGTGCTACTGAATTCTGATTGATGAGAACCAAACCCATCTTTGCCATGTGTCACATGATGGAAGGCTGAGCTGAGCGGATCTTATGACGTAGCGCATATCAGGGCATGACTCGCTGCGTATATGAGGGAAGAGGCAGAGTGGTGTCAAGATGGTGCCAGAGAAGGACTGCGTGTTTATTACACTTGAAATAAATTTAGTCTCATGAGTTGACGAAAGTGTGGGATCAAGGTAGTGATCCTCAACAGTCAAACTGTGACAACATGGGAAGGTTGACTCAGGGACTATGTGTGCAAATGAGCATCTTCAGAGTGCTGTCCGCAAAATCCACATGCAAATTGTGTCTCAAACACAAGCAGTGACTTAGGGAATTGATGGCAGCTTGTATGAACAGCATTCTGGATAGGATGGATACCTTTACGTATTCAAGATATAAAGTAGGTTCTACACAGAGTGCTATTGTAGCACAAAGCAGGCTAAACGTTCTCTTGTCCAGAAAGGGCTCTTAAGAGTAACAAAATCCTTCACATGTGTTCAGGACGCCTTTGAGGTCACCAGAATTGCAAACTTGAATGACAATAAAGAACAGGGATCAGAAACCTTTATAAATTATTTGGACTCAGGTACCACACACCTGAATCAAACTGCAGCTGACCCCCATTTGTCTCTCCCACCTGAAGCTGTGGCTGCCGGGTGGGGCTGGGTACAACTAGGATCAGCAGTAGATGCCCTTGCTCTCCATTTTGCCACAAGATGCTTCTTGCAGTCAGCTGGGGCGCCATATGCATGAATACCATGGGCACCTGTCTCTGCCAGCGAGCTCTGTAGAAAACACTCTCCTGCCTGCACTCTTCTCTCTGATTCTCATGCTAGCGAGTTGGAATAACCCAGCCTGAGGCCCTCAACTGAGACAAGAGTGGCCTCAGTGATGAAGGTCTTCATAGTGTTTGACCACCACCGGGTCCAATCTCTAAGGAGAGGCAGGTGGGACATTAGAACTTGCTTCGCGACTACAATCCATCTCACTATTGAATGGCCACTCAGTGAACCTTATGGCTGCACGCTACTGAAATGGCAAGT